CCTACGTACTGCTAAGTGGTTTAGGCGTAGGAAATACGGGGCCCTGAAGTATAGCTTTTGGAGCTAAGAACTAAACCTACAATTAACATACAAACAAATTGGTTCTGGATGCTCTCATATTTTTCATCAAATTCATCAACTTCAATCAATCTGCCTATATATTGGCCGATGAAGTAAAACTGTTGGTTGAAATTTACAGCATGTCTGAAAAATTTGTGGACTATTTATAGTGCTTTTGTTAAAAGTTTGAACTCAGATTTACATGCAAAAGAATTTTATACATCCTTCCATTACGATAGGACTACGTTACAAAGGTGTACGCGGCTCCAGCACACAGAAGTTGGGAGTGGTCCAAAGATAAGACTTGCTCGAAACGTTAGATGCAGTTATGTGGTATGCTGACCCCAATTACGATGACTATACTGTACGTAATTTTGTGCGGGAGTGAGTCCTCAATAGCAACTAAAATCACCTACGATTTTACACCATAATCCCACCTTAATTGCGAAAATCCAGGAACTATTCAGAATTTAAATCCTGATAAGCTAGCCCTTTGTACCGATTTTAGAATACTAGAAGAGAAGGAAGATATAAAATTCAAAGTATGTAAAATGAGAAAGAGGCAAAATTCTTTTAATCCTTGTGTTTAAGAACATTGAATAGCCTATAAAGATGCTTCAAAACTTCAAATTGTAAATGAGATTTGTATAAAGAATTTAATACCATTCATAAACAAGTTTTTTTTAATGCAAACAATCCGAACAGAGAAAAGTACAAAGGTGTAATTAGAGTTAAAATTAACTTTTGGAAGGCATTTCCACATAACCGGTTTCGTGGAAATGAACTAGAACTTAAGAACTAGACCGTAAATGTGACTTCCTTGGTGCGGCCGGGTATGTAAACCTTTCATCAGTAGTTCCCAAGGAAGTTTCAATAGTACAAAGCGAAAGATTATGAAGGTAGTGTCAATAAGGAGAACTAAGTAAGTAAGATGAATCCTGACTCAATCATTTTTCAAACTCGTATAGCACATACCTATGCAATATGCATTTATATATCATAGGCAAGCGTATTTTAGGCTGCTTTAAATTGGAATGTTTTTCTTTGTAGGAAGTATGACGCTGCGCAACTGCGCCACGAAATAATCACGGTCGTTTACGGCAATGAAACATTGGACAACACCGAAACATTGCCACATGTCTCAGTACTCTAGATTTTCCCTATTGCGTGCCTTATTCCACCTCATTTTCTTTTTTCCTACAATTTTTTGGCAGGTATGGCAGAATACCAAACTTCCGTTATGCAAAGGTAGCGCGGATCTTTGGTGCTGCGCTTACACAAACCAGGCTTCATTTTAAAACCTGTCCGAATTGAAACATCTGTGTCACAGTAGATTCGCAGCAATTCGATAGTCTGCGATTTGAACACGCGACGCATGGTGTTTGCTGCCTTTTG